TCCAAAACAACTAAATGTGCTCATGAGGAACCTGTACATAGATCAAAAGGCAGTAGTTCGAACAAGGGGATACTGCGTGGTTTAAAGTCAGGAAAGGTGTGCGTCAGGGTCGTATCCTTTCCCCATACCTATTCAATCTGTATGGTGAGCAAATAATCCAAGAAGCTGGACTATATGAAGAGCAGGGCATCAGGATTGGAAGAAGAGTCATCAACAACATGCATTATGCAGGTGACGCAACCTTGCTGAAAGTGAAGAGGACTTCAAGCACTTACTGATGAAGATCAAAGACCACAGCCTTCAGTATGGATTACACCTCAACATAAAGAAAACAAAAATCTTCACAACTGGACCAATAAGCAAATCATGATAAATGGAGAAAAGATTGAAGTTGTCAAGGATTTCATCTCACTTGGATCCACAATCAACACCCAGGGTAGCCGCAGTCAAGAAATCAAAAGATACATTGCTTGGGCAAATCTGCTAGGAAAGACCTCTTTAAAGTGTTGAAAAGCAAAGATGTCACTTTGAAGACTAAGGTGCGCCTGACCCAAGCTATGGTATTTTCAATTGCATCATATGCATGCAAAAGCTGGACAATGAATAAGGAAGACCGAAGAATTGACACCTTTGAATTGCAGTGTTGGCGAAGAATATTGAATATACCATGGACTGCCAAGAGAACAAACAAATCTGTCTTGGAAGAAGTACAACCAGAATGCTCCTTAGAAGCAAGGATGGCGAGACTACGTCTTACATACTTTGCACATGTCATCAGGAGGGATCAGTCCCTGGGGAAGGACATAATGCTTGGTAAAGTACAGAGTCTGCAAAAAAGAGGAAGACCCTCAATGAGATGGACTGACACAGTGGCTGCAACAATGGGTTCAAGCGTAACAATTGTAAGCATGGTGCAGGACCGGGCAGTGTTTCGTTCTGTAGTACAAAGGGTCGCTATAAGTCGGAACCAACTCAATGGCACCTAACAACAGGATGATACTAGCCACAGCTGAACCTCTTAAAGGTTCATGTTGTTGTTTGCTGTTGAGTTGATTCTGGCTCATAGTGACCTTATATGACAGGCGAGAATTGCCCGATAGTGTTTCTTAGGCTGCTATCTTTACGGGAACAGATTGTCATGTCTTTTCTCCTGTGGAGCTGCTGCTGGGTTTGAACTGTCGACCTTTTGGTTAGCAGCTGAGTGCTTAACCATTGCACCACTAGGGCTCCGAAGTTCACATTACTCTACTGGAAAAAAAGTCCTTCTCCAGTTTGGTATCTGTTGAATAACACTATGACATGTCCTTTAACCTGCTACTGAACTTCACATTTTTAAACAAATTGCATAAAATCAAGAGGGTTTTTAAAGCAACTGGTTTTAATATTTTCTGGAAAGAGCCAAGAACTGCTTATAGTGCACTGAGCAAAACCTGTACTAAAATGCCTACCTTAGCAAGCTAATCTGAAAAAACAGAGGCTGTACAGCTATCAACAATAATTTTACAGGTTTGAAGATCTTGCCACAAAATCAGAGGATCTGATTTGCTGGCTGAGATTTGGTAGGGGTGTTCATTTACCTAGAAGAACCAAGTCTACTTCCTCATTGGTTCATGTTTGCCTGTTATCGGTCTGTATTTTGTACCAGCAGTTTGTGAAATGCCTTTGACTTTGAAAACTGCAAGAGGTAACACTGGAAATCATCGAGGATACTGAAATTCAAATGTTTCAACGCAAACTTACTTTTAACTGTGTTCAAAGACACCGCTCACACACAACACTCCTTGTATGCACAGAAGAATGTTTCTATGCTTCTACTCTAAGCTTGGACGTTTCTGACCCAACAAGAAGGGTTTTCACAGATTCCAGTCCTACAATTCTAACTGCATGCTCTTTGGCTGGAAAGTCTTGCACATATTTTCCAGATACTCTTTACTAAATGACATACATTAAGATGACACACGATGGGGTAATATTTCTTCCTGTTGTACACGAAGTTACCATGAGTCATTTAATTTACTAAATTACATATATCTTTACAATATATTTACAAAATCTTTTCAGTATTTTCACAGCAATATCTCTGTAGCAAAAGAGCCCTGGTGGTGCAGTGGTTAAAGCGATCAACTGCTAACTGAAAGGTTGGCGGTTCAAAACCACCAGGAGCTCCTCAGGAGAAAGATGTGGCAGTCTGTTTCCACAGAGATTTACAGCCTTGGAAACTCTATGGGGTCATTTAGAGTCAGAATTGACTCAGCCGCAGTGGACGGGGGATCTTTATAGCAAAGCTGTTGATCCAACAGCAAGTGATGGCCAATCTTCTAGCATTTGTTACTACTTTGTTAAGAAAACTAAAATTTGGGGCTCACAAATAGAAGAAAAAGGAGCCTAGGTGGCACAATGGTTAACTGCTCAACTGCTAACCAAATGGTTATCAGTTTGAACCCACCAGCAGCTCCATGGGAGGAAGACCTGGTGATTTGCTTCCATAAAGATTACAGCCAAGTAATCAGTTCTACTCTTGTCACATGAGGTCATCCTGAGTTGGAATCGATTCAACGGCACCCAACAACAACAATCAGGAATTCAGGTCTGGACAAGTCACATTTGAGTTACCTATTCAGCATCCAATTGGAGGATCCAAGATGAATACACAGGCTGGAAATCAGAGGCAAGGTGTGGGCTGGAGAAGTGCATTTGGGAGAAGTCAGCAGGTGGCTAGTATTTACAGACAAGAAACCAGCACATCTCACCAGGGGAAAGTGTGCACACAGAAGAAAAGAGGGGGTTAAGAACAGAGCTCTGAGTTTGGGGTCAGGAAGATGAGGCAGAACCAGCAACAGAAACTGAGGAGGAAAAGACAGGTTGGTGGTAAGAAAACCAGACAAGTGTGGAGTCCTAGAAGCTAATGGAAAAGAGTTCCACTGGAGAGTGAAGGATGAACTATTTCAGGGGTTGCCAGCAGCCTCTTTTTGTAAATTTTTTTTTTTTTTTTTTAACACAGCCATGCCCATTTGTTTTCGTATCGTCTATGGCTGCTTTCAAGGAGCCCTGGCAGCACAGTGGGTAAGCACTTGGCTGCTTACTGAAAGGTCAGCTGCTCGAACCCACAGCCACTCTGCAGGAGAAAGATGTGGCAGTCTGCTTCTGTAAAGATTTACAGCCTTGCAAATCCTATGGGGGCATTTCTCTGTCCTACAGTGTTGCTATGAGTTGGAATCTCCTTGACAGCAATGGGTTTGGTTTTTTTGGTATGGCTGCTTTCTAGAAAGATCAATCACTAGAAAAAGACATCAAGTTTGGTAAGGTAGAGAGTCAGTCAAAACAAGGGAAACCCTCCATGAGATGGATTGACACAATAGTTGTAACAACGGGCTCAAACATACCAACGATCATTAAGATGCAACACGACAGGGTAATGTTTCTTCCTGTTGTACATGAAGTTACCACGAGTCAGAGCTGACTCAGTGGCAACTAACAACATGGCTGCTTTCAAACTATTACAACAAAGCTGAGTAGCTGTGATAAAGACCACATGACTGGCAAAGCCTAAAATATTTACTATCTGGCCCTTTACAGAAAATGTTTGCTGACCTCTGATCTATCTCAAATGCCAGTGATAGTCAAAAAAGATGAGGACTAAGGATTGATCACTGCCATGGAGCCCTGGTGGCACAGTGGTTAAGAGCTATGGTGTGCTATGGCTGCTAACTAAAAACGTTGACAGTTCGAATCCACCAGCCACTCCTTGGAAACCCTATGGGGCAGTTCTACCCTGTCCTATAGGGTCGCTATGAGTCAGAATCGACTCAATGGCAACAGGTTTGGTTTTTGGTGGTTTTGGTAATGTGGAGTTCTCTGGTAACCTTCTAAAATGCAGTTTGGGTGGAACAACTGGAGACTGGTCTGTATGTTTATGAGATGGCTATCATATATTTAAGAAGCCCTGGTGGTGCAATGGGTTAAGGGCTCAGCTGCTAACTGAAGGGTCAACAGTTGGGACCCACCCAACAGCTCTGTGGGAGAAAGATCTGCTCCATGAAGATTACAGCCTAGGAAATCCTATGGGGCAGTTCTACTCTGTCATATAAGGTTGCCATGAGTTGGAATGAACTTGCCAGCACACAACCAGCACCGCCATATATTTATGATACACAGCTGACAGAAACAAACTATTAGCATTTTAAGAAAATCACACAAGCAAGCAGGAAAAAGAGCCTTTCATATTGCACCTCCTCTGTCTAAAATACTGCCCTACCTACCCTCTTCTGCCTGCCAAACATCTCATGTTCGTTCAAGACACTGTTCCAAAATCACGTCCTCACTGAAGCACTCCCAAACCTTCTCCCACAGGCAACTAGAAGCCAAGGGCTCCTTCTACTCCAGTCTCACAATACTTGGTCCAGGCCTCTGCCCCAACAACTTTCACACTCCAGAAACCTGTTTGCTTCCCTGACTTTCCACCAAGGGACTGGGGCTTAGCCATTTGTTTGTCCAGTGGCTGGCATTAAGTGAAGTCCCTGGGTGGCATAAACAGTTTGCGCTCGACTAATAACCGAAAGGTTGGCGGTTTGAACCCACCCAGGGGCACCACAGAAGAAAGGCCTGGGGATCTGCTTCCGTAAAGATTACAGCCAAGAAAACCCAATGGAGCACAGTTCTACTCTGTAACACATGGGGTCACCATGAGTTGGAATCGACTTGGCAGCAACAGGTTTGGTTTTTGTTTCTTTGTTTGGCATTAAGTGGTTGCCATGTTTCCCCTGATGAGTACATTTTTGTTCCATTAGCTGAGAAAAGTGGCGCAGGGAGGGGCTCAATCATTTCTTCAATGAAGAATGAACACTGAATGCAATGAAGAGGAAGCAGGGAGGCAGAATGTGAGGAAAAAGGAACCACGTCCTGGGACAAAACTTTTAAACTGAAAACTTTGAAAAGAAAATAAACATCATGAAGTCCTGAAAAGCAAGACCACATTTCAAGGAGGAGAAATACTAACTCACCTGGGACATGGCTTTAGGAAGCTCAATTCCTGCCCCAGCTGCCTCCTGCTTGCAGCTCCTCTCTTGGCGAAGAAGGGCAGTGACCCTGGAAGGCGGAACTGGGGGAAGGAGAAAGGAGTAGCTAGAGACCAGGCTTACAACACACTCCCTGCCTGAGGAGTCTTAAAGCACAGCCATAAATCAGAAAGGGCTCCCACAGGTGGGGAATCAAATGCTCAGGCACCATCAGAAAGAGACCATTTTTGCAGGGCTGCTAGAATATGGTCACACTTTTACCTAGAGGCAGCTGCAGGGGATTTTCTTTCCTTGGATAGGGTGACAGTTCCCTGGGAGGCACAAACTTTTCACACCACTACTAACCAAAATCACTATGAGTTGAAATCAACTGGATGGCACCTAACAACAACTAATCAAAAGGCTGGTGGTTTGATTGAACTCAGCCAGCAGCACTGTGGAAGAAAAGCCTGACAATCTGCTTCCGTAAAGACTGTTGTGTGCCGGCAATTCTGACTCACAGCAACCCTATACGATGGAGTAGAATTGCCCCATAGGGTTTCCTAGGCTGTAATCTTTATGGGAACAGATGGACAGGTCTTTTCTCCTGTGGAGCTGCTGGGCGGATTCAAACAGCCAGGAAAACCCTATGGAGCAGTTCTCTGTAACACATGGGGTCATCATGGGCAAGGGGTTTTTCTGGTTAGGGTGGCCCTGAGTAAGTCAAGGTCCCCTTCCTGCACCTCTGCTTGATGCTCTGACTCAAGCTGAGCTTCCAAACGTTTGGAGTCCTCGATCCACCGGCCTTGAAGACCAGAGACACTGTTCTTCAGCACTTGGGCCCCCAGAGGCCTCCCAAGAACTCAAAATCCCCTCACCCGAGATGATGTCTTCCTTGCCCACTAGGCCTAGCCCCCTGTCACCCTCACCTCTCTTCTCAAGACCCAAGGTCACTGCCCCTCGCTGGCCCTTAGCTGTGAGGCCGCTCCTTGGGCTCGGCCTCCCCCTAGCAAGTCTGGCGGAAGCCGCTGGCGTCCTCCCGGCAGTGGGGCGTCGGCCTGCCCTCGGCTTGGTGCGGGGGCCACCTCGACCCAGAAGGGACTCGTGCTCGCGAGCACGCGCGCCCCTGCTCACACTCACTGTCCCCATGTCACCCATGGATGCGCGCACACACTCGCCGAAGTCGCATGGACGCCCTCCCGGTCACACCCTCCCCGGCGGTCGGTCACACACAGCCCCGCGGGCGCACGCTCAATCACACCCGGCAGCTGGGCGCCTGCTCACATACGGCCTCCCTCCATCCACCTGACCCCTCCGCCCAGTCCCACCCCCGTCGAGGCCGCCGCGCCCCCGCCTCAGAACCGAACGGGATCGCATAAACGGGGACTCCCAGCGTCCGCCGGAAGTGGCGTGCCCCGCCCGCCGCAGTGCCCGCTGGGAAACGTAGTCCCAAACAGGAGTCGGAGCTGCCCCGACCCGAGTTCAGACTGCAAGGGGCAGGTTCGCCGCCGGCCTAGACAGGCTCCTCTCTGCCCCGGGGCGCTCGCTCCCGGCCCTTAAGGATCGCGGCCGCCCTTAGTACTCCCGACACCGAGCCGAGGACTGGCCGTAAGCACAACCCATCCCAATACAGCGGGCCGCACCCCTAAAGCTTCTGGAAATGGGCGCCGGGAATGGAGGGCGCAGGCGCAGTTAAAGGGAGAGGGGGCGAAGTCTACGGCGAGGGGCGGGGTCGCAGAGCGGCGAGCGTTGAAAAGGTTGACGTTTGGGAGGGGCAGATGCCTTGGTCCTGAGTGCCAGCTTCCTGCGGGGATGTTACAGCCACCAAAGAAGGGGAGACACGCGGAGGCGAAGCGCCAGAGGGTCAAGGCAACACCTGGGCCTCTGATTGCCTTAATATGTGTCTCATTTGCTTCAGACTTACCCCCACCCCCGCCCGACTCTGATCTCCTTTTCTGTACCTCATACCTTTTGTCTCCGGATAGGGTTGTGGGTTTGGGTTTTGGTGTTGCCCTCGCCTCCTCCCATTCTCCCTGGTTACGCGGACCTCCACCACCTTACCCCCATCCACCAAGATGCTATATTCCCCATTTTGTAGCCTTTGTACTTGACTGTCCTGTGTCCGAAAACAGCCTTCCCCAAAAACTTTTCTCTGGCCTGGCTCCTGCTTGTTATTCACCTGTCATCTCCTCAAAGAGGACTGCCCAGCCTCCCAATCAAAAATACTACCCCTCATGACCCTTTAAAAAAAAAAAAATCTACTTCCCATATGTTAGGTAAAAAAGCAAGTCTGAATAAATTTTAAAAGATTAAAATCATACAAAGTATCTTCTCCGACGACAAGGAAGTGAAGCTAGAAAACAATAGCAAGGGGCAAAAAAACCCTGAGAAATACACAAACATAAAGATTAGATATGACCCTTAGGGCGCAGTGAGTTCAGGTTAATGGAGTGGAGGAACAACTTGGAAAACGAGGATGAGAATGGTTACATAACTCAAAAAATGTAATCTATGTCACTGAACTGTACATGTAGAAATTGAATTGGTGTATGTTCTGCTGTGTATATTCTCAACAAAAATACTAAAAAATCTTCATCTCATCTATCATCTGAAGTTAGCTTATGATTTTATTCATTTACATGTTTAAGGTTGGTCACACTCAGAAAAATAAGCTCCATGTGGGTAAGGGCCTCATCTGAGCTGTTCAGAGCTTTATGCCTGGATCTGAGAACTGTGTTTGGCATGTGGTAGGTGCTCAGTGAATAACTTCACTAACAGCACAGGCAGTATTTCTGCTATTACATTCAGCATCACACATACACTGACGTCCACACACCCCATCATGCAGGGCCACAAAGTCACAGTCAGAATCCAGGCCTCTTGACTCGTCAATAGGTCCCATTTTCCTGAGATCTGCTAGCTTCAGTGATGGAATTAAGATAATGATTTCTATCTACGGAGGCCACATACTGCAGAAAGGACAATGTCAGCATTACCTTGAAACACAGTAGTCTAATAGCAAAGGGTCTGTTTTAGAGTCTGACTCAGCCACCTAAGAGCTGTGGCAGACACTGCTAGTTGCCTTTCCAATATTTATTCTGCCCTACTTCCACCCTAACAGAATCCTGATTTTATTCAGGGTGGCAATCTTCACAGCTAAAAATACCTCCCCAGACTCCCTTGAATCAAACAGTGGGCCTGTAACCCAGCTCTGACTAATGAAATATAAGCACAAGTTATTGGGGGCTTGGGAAAAAGGGCATAGAAATTTTTTTCTCCTGCTCTTCTGTGGTAGTCTCCTGCAAGGCAGCAGCAGTGGTGAGCACCATAGGGATTTTGCAGAGGGCTGCAGTCTCCAGCAGCATTAGGGTCAGTTTCAGCAGCATCAGTGGGAAAGTAAGAAGCCTGCTTTCCAGCTCAGAGATAGTAGTGCAGTTTTCAACACCAACTAGCAGTAACAGCAACTGTGCCTCTAGCACCTCAGTAGCAAACACAGGCTGTGGGTTCCAGCCCAGGGCAGGAGCAGCTTCCTGATCTTTGGGTAACAATCCTCTTGACCATTTTGCTCTTACAGCCGTTGCAGCACCCTTTTGTAATTAATTGTTGTTGTTAGATGCTGTCGAGTTGATTCTGACTCATAATGACCTCGTGACAGAGTAGTAGTGCTGCCCCATAGGGTTTCCTAGGCTGTAATATTTACAGGAGCAGGTTGCCAGATCTTTTCTCCTGCAGAGCCTCTGGGTTGGTTTGAACCACCAATCTTTCTGTTAACAGCAAGCGTTTAGCCATTGTACCAACAAGACTTCTTTCATAGTTACCTACCTCTATTAAATTACTTCTGTTTAAACCACCATGAATGCATTTAATTAAATTAATAAACAGAAGGAGAAAGGGGTTCCAGTTATAGTAATGAAGGAATAGCTGGTATCAAAATAACTCTTCAGAAGATAAAAATTAGAAACTGGAGAAAATATAGGAAACACCTGTTTAAAGGGACTGAAGAGTGACTAGACAGAAACTGCAGAAGACTCAGCCCTTGTAAGGATGGTCAGCTGTGATGAGATCCAAGTTTATATGGCTTTTCCTTAGGATACAACCCAGGTGATGGAAGGGAAGAACTCCAGCACACAGTCTTACAGGCTTGAAGTGTCAGAGGACAGAATGTAGAGCTGCCAGAGAAGCTAGAGATTGAGGCAAGAAATGCCAGAATTGAGAGCAATACTGAGACGGAGTCCCATGATAAACATAGAAACTCACTTCAATTTCTTGGTTGACCTTTAAACCATGAAAATTTTGGATGGACTGTAGGGAGTTCAGTAGAAAGCAACAGCTAGATGTCTAAAAGAGCTAAGCAGAGATTTCAGCTGCCTCCTAACACAAGGAGGAAAGATTGTAGTTTGAGTTCTGCCAAGTTAGAAGGACTTAAAAACACATCAAGCTTTCTACTGAAAGCCCAGAAGGACAATGCCTTGGGAGAAAAGACTATGTCATGAGACTAAGGGATTTATGCTAAGGCTAAATGCAAAACTAAAAGAGACTCACCCTAACAAAGAATAAAACCAAACTTCCACAGCCAATAATGCAACCACCAGCTAGGACAAAAGCTAAAGCTCTTCAGAGGAAAAAACAAAACTAAAAAAAAAAGAAACCCAGAATTCAGGCCCTTTACAATGTATTAAGGAGCGCTGGTGGCACAGTGGTTAAGCACTCAGCTACTAATCAAAAGTTTGGCAGTTTGAAACTAGCAGCCACTCCACAGGAGAAAGATGTGGCAGTCTGCTTCCATAAAAATTACAGCCTTGGAAACCCTGTGGAGCAGCTCTACTCTGTCCCATAGGGTCACTACGAGTCGGAATTGACTCCATGGCAACGGGAGCAATATTTTAGGCTTTCTACAATTTATTATTCACAATGGTTGGTATACAAGTAAAAAAAAAATTTTTTTAGAATATCCACAGGAAAATATGAGCAAAGATCATGAGAAAACATAGTCAATAAATACAGACATTGAAATGACCCAGATGTTAGAATTTACAGATAAGGACTTAACAGAAGCTAAGATACATATGATCAAGAACTTGTAGGAAAGATGGTCATAATGAGAGAACAAATGGAGAAGTTCAACAGAAATTTTTAAAAAGAAAATGGAAGTTCTAGAATTGAAAAGTACAGTATCTAAAAGGAGTGGTTTATCAGCACATTGCAGAATAAAAAAGAAGGGGATAGTGAAATAGAAGACAAATAGAAACTATCCAATCTGAAGAACAGTACGAAAAGAAGACAGGAAAAAAATTGAGAGCCTCTGGAACCTGTGGGACAATACCACACATTTTAACATACGTATGATTCAAGTTCCAGAAAAAGAAGAGAAAGAGAGAATGGGGTAGAAAAATTATTTGAAGAAATAATGGCCAAAAATCTCCCAAATTTGTTGAAAATTTCAACATACATCTTCAAAAAACCCAGCACAGTCCAAGCAGGATAAATACAAATAAACATATCAAACAAATAAAAATCAAATGTAAATAATCTTTCAATCAGTCATAGATAATGATAAATTACATAGAGGGAAACAATGATATAAATGGTGATTTCTCATCAGAAAAACATGGAGGCCAAAAGACAAAGGACCAATATCTTTAAAATGTGTGTGTATGTATTGAAGGGGGGACTCTCAGCCTCGAATTCTATATTCAGTAGAAATATTCTTTAAAAAATGAATTAAAAATGAAGTCATAATCAGTTAAATGGAGCTGAGAGAATTCACCTGCACTATAAGGAATGTTAAAGGAAGTCCTTCGGGATGAGGGAAATCACACTAGATGGAAACACAAATGAATAGCAAGGAATGAAAAAGATGACAATTCATAAATTTGTGGCTAAATATAAAACACTATCTCATTTTTCTCTTAATATCTGTAAAGACAATGGTCTACTTAAAAATATAACATTTAATTGTAGAATTTTTAATGAATGTTGATATAAAATACATGACAAAAGTAGCACAAAGGGTAGGAGGAGGTATATGGAATTATGCTACTGCAAGAGTATAACATTTTAAGTTAAGTGGTAAAGTGAGTAGACTGTGATAAGTTATAGATGCATACTGTCATCCCTAGAGCAATCACACACACACACACAACAACAACAACAACAACAACAAAGAGTTATAGCTAAGAGTCAATGGAGGAATTAAAATATACTAAAAATATTCAATTAACTAAAAGGAAAGCAAAAAGAAAGGAGAATCAAACAAACAAAAAAACCAAATAAATGAAGAAAAA